GTGCAAAAACACCCAGGGGCATTCCAAGTGTAGAAGTGCCCAAGGTGTTCCAAGCGCAAAAGCGCCCAGTGACGTTCCAAGTGCTGAAACGCCCAGGGTGTTCCAAGTACTGAAGTGCCCAAGGTGTTCCAAGTATAGAAGCACCCAAAAGTGTTCAAGCATAAAAGCACCCAAAGAGCGTTACAAGCACAGAAATACTCAGAGTGCAACGGCTCTATGTAGGGGAAGTGAAAGTAACTCAAAACAAGTGGTAGGATTCATGAGTTACCTTCACATTTGAGATGTTCTAGAGAGTTTGGCTTGGTGGCTCAGATATAGAGATAGTTAAGAGGACTTCCTCTTAACCTTTCCTTGAAGTACATGTGCTTTAGCCCTTTTTCTTTCATTACTCCTTAAAAATACATAGAGACGTACTATCAAAGGCCATTACTCCATTTACCCAAAACCTACTCCACTACAACTATATATCATTTTTTCAATATCCCATAACCATTCTTAACTGTTCTTCCATAACAAGCACATTCTCCCATGATTGAACGTGCTCTCCTAACAACTCCTAGAAAGTGTTCTTCTTCAATATAAATGTGAGAGCCTTGAAAGTTGAAAGCAGAAAGATCGAAACAGGCAGGGATTATACTAAAAAGCTCTCTCAAGACTCCTCCACAGAGTCTTTCTATTCAGTCCTTTCTCATTCGCCATTATCCGCTGCTCTGCCAACCTTTTTCCATCTCTCGCCACCTGCCACTTAAAGCACTTGCACTTCAAGGACTACTCTAGTCTGCCTCTCTATCGCTTTTAGCGCATCTCGATTCATTCATTGCAACACATCCTCTCTATAACCAAAAGAACTCTTTACAGGTCCAAAGGAAAGTCAGCGTAATTTTGTGAAACAACTTAAGCCGAAAAACTTGCATCCAACTGGAAAGGTCTGTATCAGGTTTTGAATTCACCAACAATGGAGCATATAAGCTCATGAACGTGGATGGAACAGCAATCCTAATAACATGGAATGTTAACAAGTTGAGAATCTATTATCATCAGTAAGAGTGGTTTGCTTTGTTTGTTTTATGTACTGAGTTCATTCTCTCACTTAGTTATCTATGATGAAGTTTTAAGTTTGTCAGTCACCTTTTGCGTGACATCATGGACAAAAGTATAGATGTGTTTGTTCATAAGCCAACTAGTTAGTCTACTTTTATCCATCTATGGAAAATCTACACTTGAATTGTACACAAATTCTCAAATTCTCAACAATTTACGAAGAGACATTTACTTACTGAAGTAAAGTGTCATTCCCATATAATCTAAGCAAAGAAAACTTCAAAGTTTTTTTTTTTTATAATTGAAGGAAAGGGAATTCGAATCCTGTTCCTTAGACAAGGAGATCATGTACAAACCAATGAACCAAATACCTAAGTGCAAGAGAACTTCAAAAATTGAATTGAAAAATGAAAAGAAAAAAAGCAAATCGATTCGTACTCAAAACATTCAAGAAGATTGAGTTCAAAAGCACATAAGAAATTTGGAGGAGCACGAAAACTTTTAAATGAAATTTTACATAAAAGTTTTTGAGTGTACGAAACTTGAAAGTATAAGAGAAATTTGGAAGAACATAAAAACTTTCAAGTAAAATTATAGTTAAAAGGTTTTCGAGCATATGAGATTTGGAAATATGCAGAATCTTCCAAGTAGAATTTTACTTAAAAGGTTTCAATTACGAAGCTTGAAAGCACATGAGAAATTTCGAAATATACAATTACTTCCAAGTGAAATTTTATTCTAGAAAATTCTCAAGTATATGCACCCACTTAGTTTATATAAAAGTAGAATCATGCATATTTGTCATCTAAAAATGTATATATTTATGTATAATCCATCAAAAACATTGTTTATTTTTGTGTCCAAAGGCTTTTTTTATTTTTATTAATCGAAAGTAAAATGTAAGTAACAAAATGCCTCTACAATGAAGCCTTAACGTATCATTAAAGAACAACAAAATGAAAGAACAAATCTTTTTCTGGCACATGCAACTTCTAAATCCAAGATAATGAAATAGAGAACTCACCATGTTATAATTACAAAAAAGAACAATATTCTTCTTTTTATCCTTCTTATCAGTTACATCAGTGGAAGGAAAGAAAAATTATTTTCATTTCCTTCACTTTCCTAATTCGTCAATTGACTTCTTATCAAACAAATGCTAAGAGGTTGTTCGTCTACAAAACATGGAGTTGAAGTGGTGCCATCATTAAGTAAACTTTTTTAGGTATTGGTCCCATTGCTATTGCTAGAGTAAAGTTAAACCGGTTAGATTATATGTTTACTCCTTACAATTTATAAAAAAAAATGAATTTAATCTTTATATAATAATTTATGTAAATTAAATTTTTATATTTTTTAATTTATTAATATCAATCCAAACTCTAACATTATTAAATGTGTTAATATGATGTTTGATTAAATTAATATAACTTAATTAAATTAACATGATATTTTTTTGATTGATGTGACGTTAGTTACATGTTGATATGACATTGATTAGGATGACATGTCATTGATTAGGTTTATAATAAGTTTATCATGATGTGACAGTTCTTGACTTGTTGAGAAATATTAACATGACAATTGTTGACATGGCATAGGATGATCAGGTGGCATTTAATTGATGCCAATTGACAAAAAACCTCAAATTTTATCCCAAAACATCCTAACGCTAAAGTAATCAACTTCAGGCTGGTATGGAGTGTTCAATGAGACCCAAGCTTAGCTTATTTTATTTGTAGCAGATTAACCAAAAAAAAACAAACCAACCTCGTCCCACTAAGAAAGAACCAAAAAAAAATATTAACAATCAATGAAGAAAAAAATTAAAAATCCAAAACCTTAAATGAACAGAGAAACAAAAGTTTATGATACTATCATGGAAGCTGCTCTCCAATAAATCAATGAAAGGATGAAGAAAACTAAGGACGGAAATAAGGCTAAAAGAAAGCAGAAGCAGCAACAAGGTAAAAGAAGACAGAGGGCAAGGGTAACATTCCAAAGGATTCTGCACCGAAGGGGTCCCAAGCTTGGTGACGGGCGTTGAGTTGCTATGTTATTTTATATTTTTCCCTAACCAGAGTAATAGTTACCATGTTTATTTTGAAGACATTGTAAGGATTGAATGACCCTTTTGGCTATGCTGTTTTTGCCCTTTTGCTTTTCTTATACCAAGAACTCATTTTCGAAGTTGAATGATCAAGTAATTTTATAGATTTTGACTTTGGTTTTAAACAAAATTAAAAAATAATAATAATAATTTCTCACCACCTCATTTTTCACTACGTTATGTCAACTAGTGTCACATTAGCACAAATCCTGTTATCAATTCAATCAATGCCATGCCATCTTGGCCAAACGCCAACATACATTGGTGAAAGTTTAACAATAATTGGATTTGGATTGACATTAACAAATTCGCAAAATATACACTTAATTTACACAAATTATTGTAAAGAGAATATACCGACCTTTTCTATAGAGTAAAGGGACAAAATACATCCAAGTTAAAAAATTGGATGTTTGTTTCCATGCACCAATAAACGAATGTAGGCACATCAAAGTTCAATTATAAGATCACCCTGCAGACTATAAGTTTAGGACATTCTGTAGGAAAACCTAAGAAAAGAGGAACGTGCAGTACCTCCAACCCAATGATGTATTAATATGATAGAATTGCTTATAACTTATGTGCCACAGCTTAAAGAGGGTATAATACAACACTCCACCAAAATGAAATTTGGAATATCAAATCAGTAAACCTTAACTCATATCATCATATAACAAAGAAATGACACAAAAGGCAACATGCTTTAGAAAACCATATAGGCAACAGGTTCATATGAAAACTGCATGCTAGCTATTAGAACGACTGCCACCCACCATAATGCATTCCAAGCATTTAACCATCAGGAGTTCAGAATAAGTGTCATGTAAGCAGCAAAATAAGCCAATTTCATTCTCTTGTGCTTGCATTTGGCAGCTTAATTCATCTTCTGATCATTTTCATCTTAACTTTTCTTCACTATGAACTATAATTATTTATCGTTGTGATTTATTATTAAAAACAACAACAATCTCACCTTCCACAACAGCTCTTGTCAATTTGTTTGTTTAATTCAGTTTTTGCCACTCACAACTGTAAAAGTGAGATTTCAATGAGCAAAAACTATGATGTGAGATTGGGGACTAGATTTTAGGAAACTCAACAAGCAAATTTGGATGGGAGAAGAAAGACTAGATAGAAAACAATAGGATTGAGCTCATGAAGTCATTTGCAATGCATAATTAATTCTGGAAAGAGGTTTAGCATAATATGTTTATCAAATGTGCTGTATAAACTGTACAAAACGCAGCACAACTCTAAATGCTTTTCTAAATACATTTTAATCTGATTTACTAGGTAAGTCAATTCTTCAAAATCTAAAACAGAATGCACCAATGCAACAAATGCTCCTAAGCATAATACTATGAGTTGAACATTAGCATATATTGCAGGCAAAGGCAGCCATATCCTCAATTTCAATACCATTATCATGCACAGAATGCCTCAACAATCAAGTAACTGATCTACTATAAGCTTCATTCAAGTAACTTACATTTTCCCTCTATCTCTTCTCCCTTATAACTTCCTAATAATAACTCAGAATCCACTTCTCCTAATTTCTTTGTTAACATTCCCCAGTTTGTTTTGGAACACCTTTGCTTTAATAGATCCTAGTCACCGGATTCATCTGAAGGACAGTAGACTCATCAATGGGAGTTAAGTAAATTACTTGTGATTCTACAATATCAATTTTCTAGATACATTATCTCCATCCTGTTAATCCATGAATCCAATCCATAAACTTATCCAATTACCATCATAAGCATCAAAATTCAAATCCGAAAACAGTGGCAAAGCCAAATTGTTTCACCACTAGATTCAGGTTCCTAAATAGGGCTTCAGGACCATAAAGAACAGCCAAACCCAAAGAAGGCAAGGTAAAGAGATAACTTAAACGACTTAATTTCAGTTTTAACACCAATCACAGTCTGTCCAATAACAAAAGCAGAGATACCGGAGAAGTGAAACCCATACGCCCTAACCATTTTGCAAAAATGTTCAACTAAATAAAACACCATATTAGTGAGTACTAGTTTCACCTAAGATAAGCAGGGATCTTGATCCGAATAAAGAGCGTACTCATCACATAGGCAATGACAATCGAGGAGATCCCGGCGGTGGCGTAGGAGGCCTTGACACTCTTGGCCCTGTTCTTATCAAGGGCTAGATCCAAGAGGACAATCCCAATGCCACCAAGCACAAACATAAACCCGGAGGAGAGTCCTTCAATAATGTACTGACCGTTGACTCGGCCTTGAAGGAAGACTACAGGGCGGACGGAGCCAGTAGCAGGGTCTTGGGTTGAGCCGATGCCAGGGGGCTCAACGATGACGTCGTAGACGATGCCTGAGACTACCATGAAGTAAGTGAGAAGGAGGAGGGAGAAAACGGTCATAGGGGAGGGAAGGGAGAGCGATGGGAACTTGAGGCGGAGGCGCGGGGGGCGAAGGAAAGAGTAGGGGATCACTTTCAAGATGTGGAACATTGGGTCCATCGAAAATTGGGACGAGGCGTCTGCTGGGGTGGCAGCGCTCGCAGATTGGGAATCTGGCTTCGGAGCCATTTTTTTCTGATTTCAGACGGATCTCTTTCTTTCTCCCTCTCTTTCCGATCTGTGGTTTATTCACTTTTTGGGGGTTTAATCAAGGAGAGACTATGGAGAGGGTGTGTTTGGTTGACCGGATACGACATTCTGTAATAATGGAATAGAACGCTGTTTGATTCACATTTGATGTACGGATTTTTAGCTCACCCACCATTAACATTAACCAAGTAAATGTAAAATTCTTTAATACTTAAACTTCAATATTAAAAAGTTTTTAATAATTAATCAGAAAGAAATTAAAATAGTTATTTTCCCCCAAATGTGATTCTGACGTTCTTTTCTTGTTTTTAATCATTGAATCCCTTGCAACATACTTGGTTGGAGGAATGGAACAATTATTCCCCCTATTCTTAAAACTTTTCTAATAATTTGTTTGCTTCACTTGAATAACCACTCCTCGAAATGACCATTATTGAAGAAACTTGAATAGTTATTATCAAAGGAGAGCTCAGTAATAGTTGTTCTAAAGGTGGGGGAATAGGTTAAAAATTTTATTAGATAACATTACACTTAAATAAATTTAAAAAATACCATTATAACATAGATTTTATTTCAATTTATGCATTTTCTTTCACTCTTTACCCATCTTCTACCTCTTTCATTCTCTTTCTAAAGTCTTTCAATGGATGATGGCAGTGGTACCATACCGGTTGTAGAAAACATTGATTGGTGTTCCCTCACCATATGCAATCGTAAGAAGCACCAATTTAGTGCTCCCTAGCTAGATCCAACCATAGGAAGTGTTAATCTGGCGCTCGACCTACTAGATCACCCATAGGGAGCACCAAATTGGCACTCTATTACACTAGCCACATCTTTGGTGGCTAGGCAATGAGAAAAAAAAAACAAAAAAATGAAATTACTAGAATGGGAAAAACAAAAAGGAAAACTAAATATTAATACTTTTTTTAAAATTAAATTAATATTTTAATTATAAATTATAAATATTTTAATATTTTTAAAATAAAAAATAATTAATTTTATATTATAATAGAAGGTATTTTTGTCATTTGTCACTTATTCCTAAAACTATTCCTGCCAACCAAGTATTAGAATAAGTCATAATAACAATTCCTATCCTATTTCATTCCCATAAATCAAATTATATAATAACGATTTCTCCCTTATTTTATTCTCATGAAATAGTTATTCCATTCTACGAACCAAACATACCCTAAAAGAAAGGTATTGTTGAAACCCTCAATACGTTTGGTATTGAGAATAGCTATTCCCCCCTATTCCTAGCTATTAGTTATAACTTTGTTTGGCTAGTAGTTCAACACGTAATAGCAATTCCTGAGTAATACCTATTCTTTAAAATTAGTAAAAACTCCTTTTCAACTAAACCCGACCCTCCCCTTGGTATTATCTATTCCATGTCCCATGAAATAGCTGTTAAATTTGTTATGACTAAATTACCCCGCTTAGATTTAAAAAATTACAACCTTATCCATATAAAATATATTTTTTCTCTCTCTTCCTCATTTTGCTCTTTCTCTTAGCCTCATTGTTCTATTCCACGGTTTCTTGCTCTGTCAGTAGCACCACCTCTCTCATCCACCTTCCCAGCTACGTTACTCTCTTTCATAGTCCAAGTACTTGCTTATTGTGCTTTTGTTTTCTGTTGAAAGTGAAAATGACCCAAGTGTTGAATTATTTTATATTTGAAGTGATTTGATTTTATCTGACTTGTGTATTTCTCAATTTTTTGTTTGTGGATCGAGTTTGCTCTCCTTTATTTCTTTGATTCATTGTCAATATTATAGATTATGCATAGTGACTATGATTTGGGTAAATTTTTTTTTCTCTTAGATTAATAAAAAATTAGATATAAAATGAAAATTAAAAAGATAAGTAGTAGTAGTAGTAAAAGAAGTAGGCAAACTTCAATCTCAGTATCATTTTCCTATTATGTTTTTTCTGCAATATTTTTTTTTCGATTTTGTTTTGTAGGGGTTTGGGTATTTGAGAGAGAGATAAGGGAGAGAACGTTTCTTTGTTAGAAGAAGGCTTATTGATTTAGGTTAGTTTTGCAGTTCTTTAAGCTAGAACTTGTTTTAGCAGTGTTAGTGGTAATAGTAATGGTATTTGAGCGTAGCCAAAGAAGCACGAGTTGCCCAATACTTGTATCTGCACACTTCTATCTCTTTTGTTGTTGCTTAATAGAAAAATCTATCAGCTCAAGAAACACATTCTCCTTATCCCTCTTATTAATTTGAAAAGATAGATTATATGTTGAGTTAGTTTGTTATGGTTTATGAAAGCTTGAGGTGGGATAATGGAATGTCTTGTTGTGCTTGACAAAAGTTTAGAGGAGCTGTTGGGTAGTAGTTTATTGCTTTATTTTTGCATCTGGAGAAGGAAGAAAGGGAAATGATTTTGTCTTCATAATTACAAGACAAACGTGTCAACTCTAATGCAGGAGATTACCAGACTTATTGATTTGGGTTAGTTTTGGTGTATATTTAGTACTGATATACTCAACAAGTGAGAAATTTTTTCTTATAATGCTAGGTCAAAATGAACCATTATTTTTCTTTTCATTATCATGCTAGGTCAAAATGAACCGTTATTTTTCTTTTCATTATCATTGTATTTGGAATCGTGCTTATAAATGCATGAATAATAGTGAATGTATATACATTTTCATTAATGGAAGAAAGTAAGTGGGAACTTTTGACTTATGCAATTTTCTGCTATATGCATGGATTTCCTCTGCTTCTGTTAACAGACACTTAGATACATGAATTATTTCCTTTTCTCTGCCTGTCTCTCTAACCCAGTCGCACCAACTTTCACAACTAAAAACAATTATAATTAAGAAAAAAAATAGATACATGAATTTCCTTTAACAAACTTAGGCGATGTATGTTGGAGGTTTATTTTTTGATGGCTTCTCTTGGGCAGGGTATCAACATGATTTTGAGATGATATGTTAATCAAGGCATAACATTTTAAAATCATGTGCTTTTTTTGTATCCATAGAACTTATCCCTATTTTCTATGAATGAAATCCATTAACTTTTCAAAAAAAAAACCTTAAGCAGAGTAATTAGTCAATTACAAAGAAAAATAAGAATAAGTGAAGGATTCTATAGCCTATTTATGCCTTCTAATTATATGTTTATGGGGCTAAAATGAGTTCCTAAAGTCACTTACCCATACCCAAGTCCATTTTTTGACTAAGGTTGTTGTTGTTGAGCAGTCAATGATCTAAAATATTAGTTATATTTTCAAAGGATAAACACTAATTTTTTGTGAAGGTTAAAGTACAGAAAGCTAACAGGAAAAATAAAGTTTCATCTTAATCTTCAATTGATCTTAATCTTCAATATCTTGAACCCATGCCAAATCTTTGGGTATAAGAGTTTCAACTTTCAACAATATTAGTTTACAAGATGAAGTCTTTAGAATGTTAAATCTCATAAGGACACATTTAACTAGTTAAATTGTCTTTATAAATGCTAGAAAAAAGTTCAAAATTTTTTTTAAAATTTTTATTAAAGAGGGATAAAGGTATAATCATTATTCATAATTATTATGCAACCTTATAATTATAATATAAAAATTTTAAAAAATCCTAACCCTACGTACGTGCTTATTAGCACGAGTTAAAGTGATATTTAAATATATTATGATAGACATCAAATGAGGTTGATTATACAGCTTAATCAAATAATTAAATTAATGAATGCAATAATCAACATATATATTAACTCTAAAGACACACTCAAGCTATAATTTATTCTTATCCCCACACTTGTCTTTCATCCCTACCAATTTACATCCAACATGCTCAATAAAACATATTGCTCATCCCATTTAAAGAGATATTTGTTAAAAACTCTTTTTTCACCTAATTCACACTCATTTTTTAGATTCCATAGATTTCAACCTCTTAATTGAATTTTAATTTAATTTAGAGTTGGTAACATTGTAATTGGAATTGTAATAATCCTTGAATTATACTATAAATACAAATTGAATAAGAGTAAAATTTAGGGTAAAGGGCTTTCAAATAAGATTTCAATTAAGGTAAAGGGCTTTTGAGAAAGGTAGTTGAAGTTAAATCCATTATTTTAAGGTATTGATGCAAAGATACAAACAACATGGCGATAAATTAATAATATTTACTTATTTATTTTGTTTTATTTTCTTACTTTTTATATGCCATATGGCTTTAATATTTTCTGTACAAAATAAAATAGATTAGAATATTTATTTTTTGCAGTCATGGTTCGTTTGTGTTTGAGAAGAGCTGCTGAACGCCAAAAAAGGCTACTAGCTATGTTTAAATTTTATATGGAAATTTGTCATGCTGTTGGTTAGTTTTTGACTTTATTGTCTGCAACATTGACTTTATGTACTTATAGGCTAAGAGTAAGATCTTATGCATTAGATTTTGTTGCAAATCGAGAGTATGTGAGGCACCTTGTGTATAATAATGATATTTCATGTATTTCACAAATTAGGATGAATAGACAAGCCTTTTTGAAATTATGTGAAATATTAGAAAGTATTGGAAGGTTGAAGTCAACAAAGAACATGCTTGTAGATGAGCAAGTAGCAATATTCTTACATATTATTGCTTATCATGTTAAGAATCGAGCCATTAGTTTATATTTTAAAAGGTCAGGTGAGACAATTAGCCAACACTTTCATAATGTTTTAAATGTAGTGCTGAAATTGCAAGAACATTTGTTTAGAAAACTTGAGCCCATTCCAACAAACTCAACAAACAATCGGTGGAAGTGGTTTAAGGTAGATTATTGATCTTATTACCTTTGTAACTATATATACAAGACATCAATAAGTTTACTTATAAGTAATTCATTACATTGGATTTGTAGAATTGTTTAGGTGTTCTAGATGGGACATACATTAGGGTTAAGATGCCAAGTGTGGATAAACCTAGATATCATACTCGTAAAAGGGATGTTGCAACAAATATGTTAGGTGTATGTACACCTGACATGTAATTTGTCTTTGTTATTCCTAGTTAGGAAGGGTCTATAGCTGAAGGCAAAGTTCTTCGAGATGCACTAAGGAGAAGAAA